GTCGAAAGAAGCGGTCCTTGCCAAATATAAGAAGCTAAGAGCAGAGCACGGCGACGTGGTAGTAATGGTTCAGGCTCCATTTTCTACGTCCGGGCCGGTGTATTGCTTTTTGTTGAAGGAATTATGGGTCGGTACAAGTGCCTTAATATTTTGAAAGGAACTTTGCCCCTCTGTAAGGAAAAACTTGGTCTTGATGAAGATTTGTGTTTTTACCAAACATAAAGCTTACAATAAGTGCTATATAATTGCCCACATAACATGGATACATCAGCCCAGAGTCCAGGTGTGCATCCTATTAAAAATTTGTGGAGCTTTCTCGATAGGAAAATACCCCACCGCGCTTCGGGTTCCAAAGTCGATTTAAAGAAACTCTTCAGGGTGAACGGCAAAAAGTTAAACTAAGAGAGGTCTGCATACCATATATTAATATATATAAAAAAAAATTAAGTTACATATTGTGTACGAGTGTGATATTGTGATATTGATTGAAATGAGTAGTCTATTATATTTCCGCTTTATAAAAGATTAATGGAATTCAGAAAGTAAGTTTGTTTTTTGTTTTGTAATCGTTTTTGAATTAACTAATAAAATTTATAGTAACTCTTTTTTAAACTCTTTCTCTTGTGATGTAATAAGAAAGATTAATAAATTAGTTTAGGTGTACGAGTATGGCTTGGGGGTACTGTATATACTTGGTAGCGTGTCCGAAGCTTCTTCCTGGGCGTTGTGAACGTTTTGACAAAATGAATATACTTCCCTCATTGCTACATAATGGATATAAAAGCAAAAAAGAATGGCTAACGTTAATAAATTCTTAAAGCAATGAAACTTACGGCGTAACTTATAACGTAAACAACTTAAACGAAATTTCCTAATAGCAGGATCTAAAGATAAATTTACTGACAAGTTAATGAAGTTCGTCGGCACAGATGAAATCGAAGGCATAAGACGCTAATATAGAGACTGTTATGGATGATGTCGCAAATGCCAGTGCAAATTTTCGAAAATAAATTAATGAAGAGCCTTATATGATGCGCAAAATGTTCTTAACGTTCCAACGTCGAAACGGTAGTGACGTAGTTACGATTACTTCTGCAAACGCAAATAGCTGTAACTAGTGATGTACGCGCTACAACGTATTGATACAGTGGATTTCGCGTAAAGGAAACTGCATACACAACTCTGAATCTGACCGAACCGAAAGGGAACGATTTGAAGGAGAGGTGTTTTATGCATGCAGTATATAGTCACACATGAGGAGCTTGGTTCCTCCATTTTAAAATCTCCTTAACTCTTAAGACAACTCTTCAGATGCTTTTGCAAATGTGATTTGTGTTAATTTGGTGCCAACAGTTTTAATATTTGCTTTCTCGCGTTTGAATGTTTTGGCTTAGTATACGCGGATTGAAAACTGCAAACAACAACTATGGAATGTTTGTGATAAAATAAATTGTCATTAAGCAATAATACTCCATTCTATAAGTTAATTCGTGCTCTTTGCTTTTATTTTACTTTCGGCTACTTTCTCTTAATTTGTAAAAACGATTTGTTACGGCCTTTTAAGAAGTAGAAAAAATCATTCTGCTAGAGTCGAGATATATCGAAACAGTCGTCTAAAGCAACGAGTGTTTAATTTCCATTAATAACGCCACAAAAGCAAAAGGATCTACATGGCGGCTTCTTCAAATTTTATGCTTTAAAAGTGAAATTTGAAAATGTAAACACAAACATCACGTAGGCTGAAAATAAGGGAAAACCGACACCTTTAAAAGACAATATTTAAAATATTATCCAAGTGCTCATCAAGTAGTCAAAATGCGGATAGTATCGCTGAAAAAGACAACTCTCACGGGCACAGTATTAGAGACTCAGTTGTTCTTAATTCGGTAAGTCATAGATTATGATATATCGGGTATGGTATGATTTCTACTGGTAAGTAGTAATTCCAAAATAACACAATCAAGAGGTTACTTTCTCAGAAGATAAAGGCTTTTTGCAAATCTTCGTAATATCAAATGGGCTTTCCGTTGTTTCTGTCACGTTTGGACAAAAGATTTGAAAGTTATGTCTAGTATACCGTTCGGACAAGAAACTAAAATCAAGCTCGGTTCTTCAGGAAAAAAAGTTACAAATATATTACAGGAGATCTACTGACGAAATTTACACAAAAATGCCGATAAAATCAAAGCAGTGTTACAGTGACTCCGGTGAATGAATATGTACATGGTACGTAATTTCAAATACTCTGCAAACTTGTGTTAGAATTTGCTGCAACAATAAGCAGTTTTTGTGATTTGAGAAATCTGCGTTTTGGTATATAGGCAGGAGAACAGGAATATGACCTTATTCAACTAAAACATTGTGTTGCGTGAATATTCTATCAATTTTTATCACTATTTAAGAGCAAAATTCAAACTAGACATATAAGCAAATATTAAATTGGCGCGCCACGGCCACTGCAATTAGAAAAATCTGAAAATGGACCAGTGAGATAATCCAAGAGTCTTACGTCGTTTCCATTTAGAATAAAAGTGAGACAACACAAACAGAGAGAATTTTATCATTACAAAAACAGGGAAAGTAAAAAATTCCTAACAGATTAAAGCTAAAGCAAAGATTCCTATATATACGGCCATCATTTTACGATGTCTACTTTGCTTTCTGCTGTTTGGCGTTTTATAGAAAAGAGAAAAGTTACATCTGTCTTGGGATATGTGGATATATCGGGGTAAGTTAATTAAAAGATCAGACAATTTTTCTCACATTCTACAAACGTTCCTTGGTACTTAGAAGCCGAGCCTACAACAAGCTATATAATAATAAAAATGTTTGAAGTTTTGGGATTTTTTCGAGGATATGACGGAATTTTGCTAATAAGCAGCTAAAGGGCTAGTTAAAAATGTCGAAATGTTAAAAGACCACAAAGAAAATTTTTTATAAATAGAGCAACAAACGTTATAATTTTTTTTTCGTATTTCGTTATTACATGTGCAATGCATGAAACATTGACAACATTGCTTAGTTACGAAAATTCTATTAATATTTAAAAAAAAAATCATAAAAACATTTTTTTTTAAAGTAAGCTTTTATTTAAGTGAACTAAACGATGGAAACTGAATTGTCCATTTTAAGAGACCACACATAAAAGTCGGGGGCACTTAATATTTTCAGGTATAAGAACCTTGATTGTTTTAAAGAAACTTTTTATATAGTTGATTTTTTACTTTTTAATCCATTATGAATCGAATTATCTATTTTCTCAAATGTGTCATTCTGTATATTCCTATAAGCGCCCAACTATTCCAAACGTTATTCCCAGTTGGCTTTGCACAATGTATTTTATGCCCTGAATCCTTTACTTACTTACTTGATACCCATAATAAAAAAGACATTTTAACAAAAATAATCGGGCATGTCGAGTCGCGTACGACCGTCACATTAACACATATATCATGTCGCATTCTGCTCTCCAAATCCTTCATTTTATACCCATATTAAAGAAATTGTTAAGCAAATATAACCCACTATTTTGTGACGTCCATGCTCTTTTATTTGGTACCCATATCAAGAAGATTGTTAAGAAAGAGATAATCCGCCACTATATAGAGAGCTATGTTCAACATACACGAAATTTTGGTCATCAGAAAAAAAAAAAGTTTGCGAAATACACAGCATGATTAGGCCGGCGAAAGTGCCCAAACTATCGACTGACAACTTCCTCTCTAACATATATTCTTCTGACTGCCATTTTGCATATACAGCAAAAATAACTGCACTACATTGCCTTGCCATTGTACCTTAAAGTGTGTCGCAAAATTTTTGGATCATTGGATATATGAAAGTGCTTGAAATATGAGTTGGAAGTTTTCATATTGAGAGAAAACTAAGTTAAATAAAAACTTATAATAATTTGGTATAATAAATAAATTTAGTTATAACTTACACCTTAAAATGATTTTACTGTCACAATAAATCTAGATAAAATGCACTTCACATAATCAGATTGATTTAAATCGATTTGCAAGACAAATTCTTGAAAATGTTGTTTCTACCCGAGAACTTTATTTTTATTATTGTATGGCTAAATTAGGTGAGCAAGCTGCAATATCATTCAGGTGCAATCTAATCTAATAATGACCTTCCTCATCAAAGTTTTTCGGCTTGCTTATTTTTAAAGTACAATGTCAAAGATTCGCGATTAGCTAGACCGTTATTATTAGTCCAGCAATCGATTTCTGTCTATAATGAGTTCATTAGTACCATTTTTCTAAATTGTGAACCCTACATAGGGTCGAAATAATATTATTTTTTGCTCTTCCTTTTGAACTTTTACAGTGCCTAATACTTTCTAAGTACAGAAGTTGCACCAATTGAGGTACAAGGTTATATTAACTTTGCACCAATTTAGGCAACACTTAGGAGGACTTAAGGTTCACCCATCTTTAATCTTACCGACCGATAAGGCTACTTATTTGAAAATAAACGGACTTGGTCAAATTAACCATGTTTTCCCTCAAACCCATACTATTTCTTCCAAATTACCGTTTACCTAAGTTAACCCAAGTTTACCTAAGAGAAGAAGGTTTTCATTACTTACATATGTGCATGCCCCTCATCTTTCTCGGATTTCTGTTCCGTGTATTTCTTACCCGACTGAAAATAGCGAGAATGAAAAACCACGTCGAAGTAGGTTCAATGTATTTCCCTCAAACTATGTCTTGAGAGGAGTACAGCTTGCTTACTGGCTGTATATTAGGTTTATCTATATACTGAGCCTTACGGAGGTAACTTGATTTTCTGAACATTATCAAACAAGGATTGTTGATTGTCTAAAAGCAGTTGTTGATTGTCTAAAAGCAGTGAAAAATTAAAACTATTTAAAGTGAAACTATTTCTTAAAAATATTATTCCGTTTTGGCAATAAAGATGGTAATATATAAAGTAGCATTATAAACCAATACATATAATAAAAGAGGTAGCTAAATTATTTTACTATTTACCCATTGCTTTGGGGTCCAATTGGTAAGGAGCTATACCACAATGCGCAGGTGGAGGATTTGCTAAATGATCGCCGTTGTGACAGAAGAATGGCGGTAAGCCGATTTTATTAGCCTGCAAAAAACGTAGAGAAATTATAAAGTTAATGTATTATTATTATAATTAATTTAGCCAGAGGAATAAATTGTAAGACAAACGTCTTAAAGCAATAGCATCTAAGTCTTAAAGTAAAATTTAATTTTGTTCCTTTCCAATTCTCTCTTATACTCTAAAACAAATCATTACTTTTGGCCGAAATCTAGATGTAAGTTTTCTGATGGCAAATAAATGTTTTACAGACCATTTATAGTAGCGTATATGACATTCAGGCGCTTTTTGTGTAGCCTTGCCTCTACATGTTTGTGCACCAATTAATATTGCGATATTATAAAAAGGATAAATTGTGTTTTCTAGAACAGGGAAATGTTTTCACTATTTGATTACCATAAAAGTTTTGTTCTCGCGATGGAATGAAGTTCGGGTAATTATTACTTCAATTCTCGTCAGATGAGTACATTTTTTTTTTAAAGCCAACGTCAATAAATATTTAATTTAGTATTTATGTTTAAAAATACATTGTATATACGTTAATTGCTTATTCGTTTCCTTAATCGATCACACTCACACAGAAATCGAATTAACGTCCGTCTCAATTATTTGGCAAACTATAGCAGGCAAATCGTTTCGCGTAGCAAATATCAGATCAAGAAATTAACACTTTATAATTCTTGTCTATTTGCTTAACATTTAGAAGACTAAAATTTTCTTTAACTGCTTCATTCAGTTAAACCAACACAGATGTAAGCTTTTTTCGTGTATTAATTTACGTCGTATTTAAATTAATTTCTAATCTTAACATCTATATATGATTCGCAAATACATAGAATTTGTATACTATTACTGGTTGTAAAACTTTTGCATGTCTGTAACGGGTTAGGGCTTCACACACAAATCAAATCTGTACCGGCTTCGAATTTACCTCTGTGCTAGATGTGTACACGCTTTTTTTCTTGTTCTCTTATTTACATGAATTTTATTGTTTTATATTTTCGTAATTTTTTTCTTTACTTCTTTTCATACACTTTGAATTAGTTATTAATAATAGTTACCATCAGATTTCATTCTAAGAGTCAATTGAACTCGGTTGTTAATTTATTTTAGCTGAATTTCATGGGTAAATAAATAAAATATAAATAAAATAAGTCAAAAAATTATATTCGGATGCGATTGACTCTTTTATACCGATCACCGTTATCCTACAAAAGTCAAAATAAGTAAAAGAACTAAATTTTCGTGCTCTGTAATATGGAGGAGGCGTGGCTGGTTTTTTCAATTTTGAAAATAAAATTTTTTGTCGCATAAGCGTGTGTGCATTGTAAGCGTGTCCTTGGAAAGATTTAAGTCATTTCCAAATTCTTTTGCAAATTTGTAGGCGGTATTTTTATCTCATTCTTCATGGGAGAAGGTTTACCGCAGATACTACATAGTTCCGCCGGCAGACAGATGGACAGACAGACACCCTAAGTTGCATTCCAAATTTGAAACCGGCCAAGAATTTATATACTTTATAGGGTTCTTAAAGCTTATTTAGAAAGGTACGGAAAAAAATTCTTTTTTGATACACTATAGTATTGTGTAGATGTAATAAATTTTTCCAATTTTGTCCAGGTGCTAGAGCATCGTCCACAGAATATACGTTGAAATTGTTGTACGTTTATCTGCTATAGTTTATGAGTAATGAGCAAAAAACCAATTTTTTATTCCTTTTAAAAAACAGAGGTGTTCTCAGTTTACGTGGTACTGTGAGCGCACCAACATGCCTGCAAAAACTACCAATGTTTCTGCCAAATTTGAAGTAGGTAGCTTTACTTTTGCGACTATAACATTGCGTGTGTGCGGCTGATATTTTCAAATCCCAGAATAAAAGTGTAAATTTATATGGCGTTGTAGTTTATGGGTAAACAGCAAAAGCACAGAAAGCAAAACTGTTCACAATTTGATGTGAGGTATTTGAAGCTTCCTTCTGGGCGTTGCAAACGTTTTGCAAAATGAATATGACCCTCATCCATCGGTGATGAGTATAAAAATAAATAAACAGGGATTTAATTTTTATAGATTTAGTAAAGCATTTTTCCCACCTTCCGATTACTTCACTTAACGGAAAGTTAAAATAAATGGGTATAAATCTATTATTTTATTTCTTTACAAATAAATCTTTTTGTTAGTAGCAAGGTAAGAAATACTTTTTTCTAAATCTGCTAAATATCTCGGCACCCTGTTTGATAATTAGTTTACATTTAAAGTGAACTTTGAAAATTCATGGTTTAAGCATCTTTTTTGATGTTGGATCGTAAATCTATATTGAATACAATAAACAATATTTTTTTATATCAAATGTGTTTCAAATCCATTTTATCCTCGTTTATACCGCGTGTGGAATGCTGCTTTAAACGCCTTCATATCATTTAAAATAAGAAACTCAAAGTCATTCAGAACCTTCCCAAAAAACTTTAAACTTTCATAGACATTTCAAATTTTTTTAAACACTGGATTGACAATTTTGCTACTTGTTTGGAACAAAGACGTGCTTTAGTCATCTGGTTTAATCTATTTTATTTTCTCTATGGCTTTTTACTAAAGTTTATTGTTTTTTAGTCTAATTTTTATTACTTCTTCTCCTTTCCATATACGTAAATATGTTTGAATGAATTTTTTTCTTCGCAAGAATAAATTGTGAGTGAAACAAAAACAAATACGAGATGTTCAAATTAGTTTGCGTATCGCTATTGTGATTTGTGGTAATGAATCTCTTCTGAAAGTTGGCCTAAGTCTTATATATTATCGTGTTAAATAATTGTTTGCACCTAAGTTGTTGTTGAGTGGTTTTTCAGATTTTCAATATTCCCATATTCGCTAAATAAAAATTAAGTTTTTACGCTTAGTTAGTGTGAATCAACATCCACAATGATAATATCTTTAGGTTTAGCTGAAAAGTGTCACAAATATTTTATATAAACATTTTTTGTGTCGTCGCTTTCAGATTCATTATTGAATTTTGTTACTGAGGTATAATGTTAGTTAATATAATCTCGGGTGATTTACAATCTGTAATTAAATCATTAAAATTGAATAAGGCAGTTGCTTCGTGTTATTGTTATAGATAACACCAGTTAATTCAACATGCGTGCGTGTGAAATTGTAGCAGGCCTTTAGATTTAAGTCCTTCATTTTGGTTAAGGAAGTTTCCTTGGCGCAGCTAAGAATACTTTTCTTTCTGCTGAAAATGCTTTAAACATTCCAGACTCAGTTTAGCATACATCAGATATATTAAGACCACGAAAATATACATAGCTTTATGCACTGTCAAAAGAGGACGCATATTTACTTGATACTTGATAACACAGACCTCCTGCCAGTACCGCTTATGGGAATAAGTTGAAAATATCATTTGTGTTGGAAAAATGATTCAATTCCCCACAAATCAATTTTGGCAATGGTATAATGCTCAACACATCGGTATAAAAAAATAAAAAACGGGGTACAATCAATGATTCGTTTGCAGCATTATATATGTGTATATGTTCATCTAAAACCAATCACATATTGAAACAGCTATGTGAGCGTTTACACATGCACGCAAAATATGTTAACCTGGTTGAAGTTCTTTTTTTCTAAATAAAAACATCGCTCAATGTTTACTTTAACTGCGGTGAAAAAAAAAAACCGCCCACGGAAGTGCTAGTACCAACGCGGGGGTGGAGGCACACCTAAGGAAATAAAAAAATTACATATATAAGTAAAAACCCCAAACGTAAATCTGGTATAGATACAAATTTGATATGAGTTTGCGCCTAGCAACGTGACATACTCACTCCCCTTTCTCTTCACCCCAATTTTCTAGAAACCAACAAAGCTTTGCAGCCATATTGCGAATAAGTAGTTTACAAATGCTCAATAACACCTCTACAGTATCCACCCTCTACTAATATCAATGAAAAGGGGTGTTTTTTCTAAATTTACCCAAAAGCTATAAGCGCTAACCATTTTACAACAAAATACTTATATAGACCTGTACATGTATATAAAATATAAAAATGCATATACTACTGTGTCCAAAAAGTAAGACCATTTTCATATTTTTTTTTTATTTATTTATTATTCCCAATCTATTTCATGGCCTTCAAAATCAAATAATATTTTTTATTAACAGTTTGCGACGGTGGACGGAATTCACAGCGCACGATAATCGAAGGAAACTTAAAGAAACAGCACCTTGATTTTTGAGCCTCTTCGGCAGCGCTTGACTCACCGTTTGGAAGATATTCGCTTGATTAATTGGTTATTTCCAGGTCATATGGGTAGATCCAAGTCTCATCTACCGTAGTAGTCGAAAAGAATATATCATGCAAGGCCTTTACCACATTGTAAAAATCAGAACAAATATTTGTTGTGTCCAAGCGCAACTAAAACACCAATGTCGTTTATGATGTGAAATTTGCTATAGACGTCTGTGACAGGGCCACAAGTTAAGAAAAAAATATTTTTGATATTTCGTCGCAATTAAACTTAAATACTGATTTTAGTTTTAGAAAAATAATAGTGCTATATATTGGTGACGTGGTTTTTTCGAGTTTATGTCCTCAACATTACAATTTTGGCGTGTGTTAATTAATTTAACTAAGACACGACATTAAACTATTCGTACCTAGCCGATGGAAAAATTATTTTTTTATTATAATCTTTATTTAACTAAGTGTTTAAAAATTTAAGTTTTTAATACATATTTCTACTTCCGACTGTTTGGTAATGGAGAAATTGTGCAGCTGGTTTCGCTTCGATGACAATGGAACATGGTACAGTTAAATTTTCTATATATTCAAAACCGCAGCAGCCACAAAATTGCGGATTACCTTTTTCTGAACGTTTCTGGGCATTTAGAAAAAACCTATTTATTACATAGAAAAATCTTACGCGTCCCACGTATATAGTCTCATAGAAATTACATAAAATTAAAGTTCTAAGGAAATTTTTCCCATCGTAGCGTGTAAAACTTATATTACAAGAGCTTTCCCAAA